CTACCCATTTCGCCACTATTTTTACTGCACGCTGTGCAAGAGATTAGGTGAACTGTACCTATGCTCATGAAATTACCATCTGCCGTTAGGACATATTCTACAATCTTTCATTATAGAGAGACGGTCATATAAGCGGCTACGATCTAATTGGCGCTTTAGAGTATTCGGTGGTCATTCAACGATAGCTACCAATTGCTCTAAACCTGCTCTTTTCAAACAACGTTTTATAGCTGTACTTATCTGATTTGAAAAGAACGGGAAGATAAAGGGGACTATCCCTTCATTCGAATTTTCGTTTGGAGGCATGTTAATTTCTCTAAACCTTAGCGGAGGGTTCCTAAGTTCGTATCCATTAGAAGTGGCCATTTCCCGAGCCACTTCATGGATTCTACTCTCTGCTCCTCTCCGTCACATCATTGGCGGCTGTTTGAAACATGTTTTTTATTAATGCGTCTTTCGTATGTGAGGGATTTGAGGAGAGATAGTAAACCAGGATATTCTTATCACTTGGCTTTCGGTGCCACTTTGTTATGCAGCGTTCTTCGTTAAGTTTATTTGCTCGTTTAGGGGGAGCCAATTATTATTTGCTATCTCATGGGTAAATCTTACATACTCTGACTGTTCATTCAACAGTCTAAAACAATTATAAAATTCCTCTCGAGTGAAACAAATAACCACACTATCATCTATATACCTACAGTAAGTAAGGGCCTGAGATCCAACAGTGGTGCTTCCACTTTCGGCATAAAGTCAACAGCCAGGTTAGGTGCCAGTCGCTACCCCATTGCCATCCCTCTTATTTGAGCAAAATATTTTCCGGGACTATCTGAAAGATCAGCAGTTCGGGCACTCTTTCAATAGAACCACGAAGTGCTAAATCGACAAGCCACATGTTGACAGCTCCCTGGTATTATATCAGAAGCTCGTGTGTGGCTTGCATTACAGAGTCATTCGACACGTGGTTATAGAGAACAGTGACGTCAAATGACTCCATTACGTACGCGTTGTTCAAATTGGCGTTACGTAAACGGCCCAGGAGAGTGTGAGTGTTTGTCAGATGAGCTGTAATGTGTCCTAGCAACTGGGATGTTGTTAAAGTTGAGAACCATGCTATCATTCGTTGGTCCTCCTACACAACTGATGATGGGTCTAACTTCTAATATAGATGGATCGTTAGACGTTAGATCATCAGTGGATACTAACTTATGTGTTTTTATAAGCAAATATAATGACTTCGAATGACTCCATAGATGATTCCGTGATTATTTGTTCCACTCAAGAGGAATTTGATAATTGTTTCAAGTTATTGAATGGACAGTCAGAGTACATAAGATTCACTCGTGAGATACCAAAAGAGAATTGGCTCCCTTTCTTGAACATGCAAATAAACTTAACAGAGAACGGCTACATAACAAAGTGATACCGAGAGCCATGTTATAAGAATATTCTGATTCAGCATCTCTCTTCTCATCCCTCACATACGAAAAAGGCATTAGTAAAAAAAAACATGTTTCGAAGAGTCGCCAATGTGTGTCTCGAAAAAGAGCAGAGAGTGGAATCCGTAAAACTGGCTCACGAAATAGCCACTTCCAATGGATACGAATTTGTAAACCCTCGGTTTAGGCTTAGAGGAAATGACACGCCTTCAAACAAAAATTTGAATGAAGGATAAATCCCGTTTATCCTCGCGTTCTTTTCAAATTAGATAAATAGAGCTATAAAACGTTGTTTGAAAAGAGCAGGTTTGGAGCAGGCGGTAGTCATCATTGAATAACCACCGAATACTCTAAGGCGCCAATTAGTTCGTAGCCGTTTATATGACCTCTCTGTATAATGAAAGATTGTAAACTATGTCCTAACGGAAGAGATGGTGATTGCATGTGCGCAGGTACAGTTTACCTAATCTCTTGCCCAGCGTGCAGTAAATATACTGGTGAAACGAGTAGGCCGTTCTATGCCCGCATAGAAGAATACCTAGCTGACAAGCGTCACAAGAGACGAAAAACCCCGCTAGATACACATAGCAATCCCTGCGCAGGAAGATGACACATCGGCGCGAAAGTTTTTGGAAGCTTTCTGGACCAACACGACCAAAATAACTATTAGCCGCAGGGAGGGATGCGTTGTGATCATCCTTGACATAAGTCAGTATATAAGACTGTTCTCTTGATGGGTAGGGTGCACTATGAGCCCAAATTCAGTGGAACACATGCAAAAAGCTGTGAGTATGCTTAACGTTAATTTGTGCTTAATGCAATTCAAATCTAGGTATGATGACGTTTTTAAAAGAGTAATGGAGGTCTTTGACTGATTGGATTGTAGAAAACTTAACCTTTCCAGGATTTGAAACAGGCGAACTGCCAAAACGTCAGCTGTTAAATAAAGATTAATGTAAGAGCTCGTGTTTTGCTTAAAGAAGAAAATAAGGAATTATTGAAGCATGCCTAGATCAATAGATAGTCGGTCTTAGAAATTGTTGGAAGAAGTAATATTAATGATGATGGTTTTTACTTTCTGACAAAAATGTTTTCGTTCATCATTCGAAAAGAATGCATGATAAATAGAAATAAATGAGATGTGGTGGGAAATCAACGATAGTTCTATAGCAATTTTCACTTTTCTATTACATCTCAAAGTCTCAGCATTCTCAGTCTGATAATCCTTTTTCTTCATCATATCACATTAAAATTTTTCCCTAAGAGATTGAACTCTATATGACAACTTCGTCATAAGATGAGCTTAACCTTTCAAATTTAGCGTGAGCCATTTTGATGCACTCTGCGACGCATTGCGTCGTAGGCCTCACTTTAATATCAAGATTGCGTCTCCTGATAATTTGTGATAGCAAGCGCTTTGACCTTATAAGTGGTACTTATTTGGTAAGTTAGGTTATAAAAGGATAACATTACGGTGGATGGTGGAAAATCATCAGAAATTTCTATAAGTAGCTTTTTTTCCAAAAAAAAAACAAAAGATCGACCTTCATCATACCTCGACATGAGTACCAAAAATATCTTACATACTGCACTCTTTCATAGAGAAGACTTGTGCGAAATTGGTATTTCCTCCTCTAAAATCGATGGTTAATTTTTCGTCAAATTCGCCTTCTCCACTAGACGTACTATATCATACCATATCTAATTATTCTCCCAAAATTTCGTACATATAGTGAAAATCTAATGCAAAATTGATTCAAATGTCCAACAAATATATGGAAATTCACAGCTAAGCTGCTTATATGGAAAATGTCACCAGTGTATTGTGACACACTGTGAATAATAAACCTTATCAACCTAGAAAATGATTCTGAAATAAGGTGCCATATCACTTGATACGTTCAGATCCTCTACCTTCAAATCATTCCTGGGCTATCAAAGTCCAGTCAAATGACCTCACAGGTTTTTCTCGCCGGCAGCTTTGATTTCTTTCCTAAGATTATTATATACACCTCAAATTGTTCACTGTTGTGCATTTCTGCCTATAAGCACCTATGAGTTTTTGCCCGACTTTTCGACTTTCTATGTCGGTGCTCTATTTTGCGGACAGAATGTGGTATCCCTTTTCGGCTTCTTACTCATCACAATTTTTTACGAGAGATCTCTATACTGTGACTGAACTCATGCACATTTCGTCCCTACAGTGAGTCCATATTACGCAATCCTCTGTCCTACACAGAAGGTCAGACAATTGGTTACAAACCAACCGGCGACGTAATGTAGGAAGTGGAAACTCCATGATTATTAGAAAGTTTTCCAATACTGTTCTCCAAACACCCTTTCATAGCGGCGCTTACTTAGTTTGTTATGAAGGACAGCTCCGAAAAAATCCTCATCTGTGTTTGGAACAACATTGTCTTTGTTTTTACTCTGTTTTGTCTTGACGTGAGTGGCTGTTTTTCCGTAGCAAGAGATGGCTGTTTGTTGTGCCAGTCGTAATGATTCCCTTCCATCCTCATCTCATGTGCAAACATTTGTAGTTTTCGCTACATACTTCGGACAAATATTTTATGCGTAGGGGATCAGAAGAAAAGTAGTGCACTAGTGTGCTTTTATTGCTTAGCTATCAAAGCTATTTCGTAATGCAACCACTCTCGCGAGTTGTATCTGAACGTTTAGGAATAAAGCTAACTATTCTTAGGTTTTCTCGTGTGAATCTGATATATTCGCACTGTTCCTTCAACGATTTAAAACATTTTCCACCACCTCTGTGTAAAGCAGATAACAAAACAATTATCTATGCATCGATAATAGAGTACTGTATCACGGCTAAAAAAGGAGCTTAGATGAATCTTAGAGATGAAAAAAATGGCAAGGTTTCGTGACAGTGATTTTTCCATTGACAGCCCTCTGATCTACGGAAAACATTTAGTCATGTATATATTTTCTCCTCATTTCCAACAGTTTGTGAATGGCTTACAATGCGGAGTCATTCGAAACATTTGTGTAGAGCACGATGACATCGAATGGCTAACTTACATGTACACGGTTTGTCTGTGCACATCTCACGTGCTCTAAGAAAATTTTGATGACAGGGAATTTTCAACGAATGCGATGATAAGAAGCTTAGCAACCATATTATCGTGTCCGCCGGTCCGCCTACACGGCCATACCAAATTTTTATTCGCGAGCTAAATTCGATCTGAACTTCTGTCATCGATGACTACTAAGTGTACGGAAAACCTTGTTCAAAAGCAAATATAAAGTCGATTCAACTTCACCATTAGATTGCTCTTGTTTAGAGAGGGATCTTAAAAACGATGACGATAAGTAGAGCCTCTCTTCTTTGTCAGAAACTTAAATTTTTTACCTTTACTATAACGGATTCAATCTAACCCCAAGTAAACTATACACGATGCCACGCGCAATTGTTTTAGAAATGAGTGAAGCAGATAAATTACTTGGAACCAACTTTAACTCGAGTTTCCTAGTGTTTTTTACTGCATTTTTTGCAGTGTTATGCTTTATATATACCTAAGAGGACTGAGTGGTGAGCAAAGATACGACCTCAAGCGGAAGTCGAACCCGCGCTTCATCCGTATCGGGGACGGGTGCTAGCACTACACCACCGAGGTACATTCGCACCACCACTCATTCTTAATCATTTCTATGTTAGCTGTCTTGAAGGTTGATGGCTGAACTGTCTTGAAGGGTGGTGTCAATGTACCTCGGGGATGTAGTGGTAGCACGCGTCCCTGGTATGGATGAAGCGCAGGTTCGACTCCTGTATGAGGTCGCATTGTTGCTCACCACTTAATTCTCTTTGGCATGTATGAATCCAATTCTAACAATAGCTGCGAATTCTCCGGAAAGATCATGTCTCCTGATGCAGTGACTTTTGGGATTTCTAACGTGTATTCTAATTCAGACTCCTTTCCGAAATTGTTGAAAACGAGGTTTCTATAATTCATTAATGTTGAACTTTGTCCACGCAATAAAGTTCCAAGGTAGTTTCGGATTACTCCTTATGTCACATCAAATGTTGTTGCAAAAAAATATGAATTCAGCTACTATTCTTCTCCAAAAATTATTCTCCAAATACCGAACACAACGAAGTTTTTTGTATGAACACTTTTTATAGCATTCGTTTCGAGTGTTCTCTTGAGATCGCGTTGAAATTTCAATACGCTTGGTAGTTATCTTTGAGCCATGCATGTGGTCTGTTATCGGCACTTATGCAGTGTAGTACACGTGTTTTGGCCCGAGGCCTCGTCAGTTGCACGGTGCCTTTCGTCTGAGTCTTGTAAAAGTGTCCATAATAAACCACATTCATGGCTCAAAAATTGTTATTAGGCATATTGAAGTTTAAGCGTAGTCTCAAGAAAACACTCAAAACGGATGGTATGATATTTCACGATAACCAGCCAGAAGCAATCGAGTATACAACACTAACCTTTCGTGATTTTTATCACTTGATGGCGCATGTAAATAATACGTATGCAATTCCTCTATAAGGAAGTTCTCCATTAGGAGGGATTAGCTCAAGTCCAAAGGCACCTTGCAACTGACGAGGTTGGAAGGCCGAAATACGTATATTGCATTGCATGAGTGCACATCACAGACCACATGCATAGCTCGTTGTTGTTCAGCATTTGTCACAAATTCATTGATGAGCCTCATATTTAGACCAAATTCCTTTTTCCGATTAAAATAGGAATAATTTTGTGGTTTATGCAGCAACAATCTAACTAAATTTTCTGCCGAATAAAATCGACTTTTTCTCAATGAAATACACGCTTCTTACAAGTCATTCATATGTTGTTGGCACATTTTGTAAGAAATCGAGAAGTCGATCTTTACCAGATTTCGACGTGAGCTCTGAGAAATACCCTACAAATTGTACTTTTCTCAAAATAAAACTTGCGTAAAGGTCATACTTCTCTTTTCCCAATGCCAGTTTCGATGAAATTTTCTCAAGAGAAAGGACAGTTTGTAAGTGAAAGCAATTCCTACAAGTCCCAAAAATCACGTTTGAACGAGAAGCCGCAGCTTCACAAAAAAAGCTCGTCTTCAACTCGTACTCAATAGAATTTTCTCATTTTATTTATGCTTCTGTAGTCATTCAACACTTTATGAGCTGCAGGCTTCAATCAAATTTTGATATTTCAAGTTTATTATGAGAGGGCCTTCAGAGTATGTTATACTAACGGAAAGAACATTACGGGTAGCTTTTGGAGTAGATAGGCGATTATTTCAACTTCATTGTGGATTCATTGATACCTATATAGCAAGAAATAAGTGTTAAAGGCAATTTTTCGCCACGAAAAGATGTAATGTCATTTCTGTAGAGAGATTTTCAGTGAAAAGATCCCGCACATGTTCTGAAAAAGTTTTCACACCTTTTTTCTTTTTTAATGATAGCCATCAATCAACTATATGATGTTATGTGATAGCAACTAGTTGAGCCCAAAATTCAAAGATAATCCATAAATGTCGAGAGAGCTTGGAACCTGTTTCGCCTTTCCTGATCGCATTACTCGCCGCAATATACCTCTCATATCTTTGACACATGTCTCTGCTGAGTCGTCTTTCCTCTAATATACTCCATTACAACAGATAGTCAATTTACTTTGGTGAGCAAGCAGTTTGTTAATAGAACGACAAGAGTGTTGAGATGCCAGCAAAACCTGGAACTTGCTGCGACTGTGAATCCGCGACTACCCTTCCAAGGCTAACTAGTTTTCCACTAGACCACTGATAGTAAATTTATTTGCACCTTAACGTCACGGTAGAAATCCAGCGATGTATAAAAAAATTATAATATATTAATGTACTCTACATGACATTTCTAACGTACTTCTGCACATTTAAACACTATCATTTTTGCTACATAAACAAGACTATCGAGATTTGTAACTCTTGTTGTAACTATTCAGAGAATTTGAATTTCATTATGGAATGGGACGACATACACCCTTGACGGACGAGGAGACACAAACAATAATCCAATCAACAATGAAGACAGCCTTAGTGCCATATGGTACGATGGAAGCCGTAGGTCTTGCGCAATTCCTTAGTTCCTATTTTTGCTTTCAAATTTGTGTTAAATGGAAATAAAAAAGGTGTTATAGTAATGACCCTTATTTTTTCATAAAAACTGTCCTATGTTCTGTTATCAAAGCACTTGCTCATCAACATGGAAGATTAGAAGGAACGCGATCATTATTTCATATTACCAAGAATTTGAAGATAACGTAAAGCAGATTCTCTCATCATTTCGTTGTTTGATGCCTTGTGTTTGCTTTTTCCTTCCTTTTTTGATCTTATTCTAAGCCATCTCTCAACCGCCATGATATTCTCAAAAATATGAGCATCATGGCCACACAATGTTGGTTTAAGATCAAGATGTGGAACCTGATATTTTTGGATCATGGAAATGAGATCGCTATCATGTCCTTATGCGTCAGGGCTTGCTGGTTCACATCACGGAGTTCCTGGTTCTGCCTTACTCCGGCCGTGTAAACCACCAAAAGAATCGTTACTATGCTCTGTAAAGACGTAATGGCTGTTCGCTCCCATACCCAAAGTATGGCACCCCAAATTATGCTCGTATCATAGCATTATTGTGATTTCGGCTCACATTGAACCATGTTGCCGGAAGCAAAATTATGCAGTTGATAAAAGATAAAATTAATTAGTTCCAAAAATATAAAAAGGATGACAGAGTTGGGGGCGCCGTGGCCGAGTGGTTGCGATGCACGTCGTGGCGCACGAGGGGCCGAGCTCCACTCTCCAACTCTTTCCAGCAGTCAACAACAGCGCCCTATGGAACACCACAACCAGGCTATCCTCAAGATTGCAGGGAGGCTTGCTCAGCCAACATTTTACGAAGTTCAAAAAGTAGACGATTGAACGAATTGGATGCTAGAATTACTGGGATCTGCACAGTGAAAAAAACAATGTGAAGGCGCATCAGTAAAGTGTAAAAGTTTCAAAGGATGGATGACCAGCAATCAATGCGTCATTATGGAAAGGCCACTGTCAAACCCTCTCACAAACTCTGCTGCAACCTCCTGTGTGGAAACGATTATCAGAAAGAGGAGACGAGTTCGAAAAATGCTGAGGCTCGCATAATGTGAGAAGAGAACGAATTGTGCCAATATCTCTATAAAGATACCTTTCTATTCATGCTTATTTGTGTGACAACTTCGAGCTAAACGATGTTGTTCTGTTCGATGTTAATGAGAAATAGCCGCCTGGTATAGTCGATAGATGGACGTTTGAAACAACGATGATGGTCGTTTCAGAATGAATCACGCTCTTTACAGCACAGTATTACTTTCTCAAAAGCTATTTTCCACCATTTCTTGTAGAAGAGTTGGACTAAACAATAGCTATTGTAAGATACCCTTTGAAGTTTCCTGTAAAAAGTCTTCAGGAAACTGTAAAGAGCGAATTGGAAGCGAACATTGAATTATAGAGCAAATGAATAATACGAAGCTTATGACGAAAGAGAGTGATATGTTATGAAAAGCAGACACAGATGTGGAGAGTAGATTGCTAAATAGAAGAAATTATCCAAGGATGACCAACATCGGTGCGTTCGTGAAAAGTGCTTGCCCTTGAATTCTGGATTTATAGACCGGATCACGTGATGACAACTGGAAAATCGAACTGCTTATTTTGAATTGAGAAATTTTTATGTGAATATGCCATTTTTTGAATGATTCTCATAAAGTCCCTAAGTAATCTGATAGGATACACCAAAAGGAATATCAACAAGATAAAGCCACGTTAGGAAGTGTTCCTGATAGAGCTAAAGTCCTAGTATAATCCTGTTCTCTGCCGGGCTGGCACATTGCGAAAATCAATGACAAGACTACCATTGAAAATTATGCGTGATACTGTTGAGAATGCACTTCCACCGCACAGAGATTGACATTCTTTCTGGACAAAGCCCCTCCCAATACCTGGTCTATCAATCATTCTGTCAATTTCACTTCCACTACAATACGTAGAGCTCCTTATACTTGACTGTAGAAACGAACGGAACTTCAGACGCCCATGATGACAATGGAGGGTTCGACTCAAAATAGCACTGTTGTTCCACTCACGGCAGTTGTTGTTCCAGAAAAAAGTAAGTTTTAAATATTACGAAAGAAAACCAATTTTCTTAGCTTTTACAAAGTTCAATGTCAATATCATTTAGATAATTGACGATCGGAAGAATAGTTTTTTACACCATAAGTGAACAAATTTTACAAGCTTTTGACTTCTCTAGCCGCTTGGAGGATACTGTGATTTGTTGGAAGCGACTCCCAAGCACTCTTCAACCCCCAAAATTATTTTGCTGTCTTTTTTTTCTCATTGTTTACGTGTACCACGCAGCTACTCCTACAACCTGTCTAACTGTCTACTCTTACAACCAGCACGTAGGAATCATCATGAGCACGTGCACATAAAAAATTACAAGTATATCCGGCATAGACAAAACATTGAGTTTTTTTCGTGAGTTTATCTGAGCCTCAGGTCAACCAAGGTTATCGTTGTTGTCCTGGCTTTTGAATAGGAGCTGAATAGTTGCTTGGGATTGCTCGCAAAAAGGAGTCCATGGTCGTCTTTGGTATGGCCAACCAACTGAACAAACAATATTTGTAAATTCGTTCTTGGCCAATGATTCCTTCGTCGCAAATCAATAAGCATAGACCATTCCCTTTACAGTTGAACTATGTCCACCCTTTAAAAGACAACCCAGTTAACTGCACCTTTTTGTTAGTTATCTAAGCATCCATCTGC